GAATGACATCACAACTTAAACTTAATTTACAATTTGATATTTTTTGGTTTTGAGCTAGATTTATGTGATATTTAAGCTGACATTATATTAGAATATTATGACTCATATGATACGATATAAGATCATGTGAAAGCTTAAGAGGATTTACATCATAACTAGATGAATAAACTCGAAATCCTAAGACTATAGTGATGTTTACTAGAAGAAGTAGAGCCTCATAATTTAGTCAAAATAGAGAGAAAATGCCACAAAAAAGGGCCTTATAGTCCAATCCTATAAAGGATCGAGCAAGCCTGACATGACTGGGCTTATACCTCTGCCTAAAAGGGTTGTCCTTGTGTTTAGATCAATTAATTAATTGAAGAGTTTACAATAAAATATAGAGATTATATAATACTAGGTTAATGTCAAATGTTAATTTAAAGTGCAATGTTCCTTTGTCAAGATAACACTAAATACTAAAAAACTCATCCTCAAATCAAGTTGAATAGAAGTTAACTTGGTTTGAACAAGAAATCATTCAAATGTTTGCATAATGTTCAACATGGATTTTTCCATGAGTGACATTTATTAATTCAAATGAAATTTAGCTTTGAATATTTTAAATTTCATAAGACCATTTTGAGAATGTTTAGAAATATCAAAGTGGGTGAAGTTTTAAATACTCAAAATATACAAGTACATATGCTTAAAATTATGATTGATATTTAAAAACTAAGATTTGAAGAATCATGAAATTAAAATTATTTTTAGTTATATTTTGGTTGGTTAAACTCAAAGTTCAATTTTAATTTTCTAGGAAAAATGTGAAATAATTAGAAAAAAATTGTGAATCAATTAACAATAGCCAAATTGGATTAATTAAACTTTCAAATATCTCCAATTGAGATAACATGTTTTCTTAAATATTAAAGGTGTTTTGTGAGTTATTTAATATAATTCATATTTATCACCCAAGAAGTAAAAATTTATAATAATAACAATAAATTAGAAATATGCTGGCATATTTTGATATGTTTAATGTTTGATTTTTTTCACTCTGATAAACTTGAATCAAAGCTTAGTTTGATCATCAAATTTATTGAGACTTTTTTTTCCATTATTTAGAAAATATGACTTTTTAACATTAAAAATGTACATAATATGAGCTTTGAATAGGGTTGTCAAAAAAGCTCGTTGTTCGCGAACAGTTCGTGTTCGGTTCGTCAATGAGTTCGTGTTCGATTCGTTCGATAAGTAAACGAGACAAACGCGAACAAATTTTTTTCGTTCGGTTAGTTAAACGAACCAAACACGAACAATGATGCGTTCGTTCGTGTTCGAATCGTTATTGTTTGAAATTTAAAATAATATAAAATAATTAGATAAAAAAAATTTTATTATATTTTAAAACATTAAATTTTATAAATTATAATATATAATAAAATAATAATAATAATATATTAATATACTATAGTAGTAATATACTAATATAGATATTGAATATTTATATAATATAAGTTATATAATTAATATATAATATAGGATGTCAAAGTGACTCGTTGAACAGCTTGTGTTCGGTTCATGTTCGGCTCGTTCGTTAAGAAACGAATACGAGCTTATTTCAAACAAACTAAATTTTAAACGAACCGAACACGAACACAAGCTTTGTTCGTTCGTGTTCGGCTCGTTTACACCCCTAGCTTTGAACATTCAACGCGTACGTAATTTTTGGTTTATGCTTATTTACACAATATGAACATTTCCAAATATATGAAAATGATTTTTCATAAACTTCGATTATAGTAAAATGGAAATTAAAATTATACTAATATGAATGAGATAAAGGTGGCATTTTTCCTATCATTAATTAGTATATTCTAGAAGACAGCTATTGAATTATTAAATATATAGCCTTCCTAACATCTAAAGTTTATAATTATGTATTTAATTTCGATGCATTTTTTATTTGTTGATATGATGCATCATTATGCACATGAAAGCTACTAGAAATACTTAATTTGCAATATTGTATTTGTATATTTATATAGTTTAAAGTAAGAGTGGCATGCGCTTCTTTATACTAGATGATGAAAAATCTTATGCATATGAAAGCTAACAGCCCAATAATCTTTTTGTCAATAAGTTGTCTCCAGTTCCTTTTTTTTTTTTTTTTTTTAATTTAACTAACAATACCATGCCTTTTTTCCACATTAATGTCACAATTATATCATAAATATCATTGAATTTCAAAAGAAAATAACTATAAGGATATCTAATATTTTATATGTGGATTTATATATATATATATATATCATGTAATATCCATTAATTTAATTGCCATATAATCAAAAAATATATCAATTCAAAAACAAGTCCCAATATAAATATGTAAACTAGCCAAACAATTTCAGGATTACCAACGATATAATTCAAATTTTATTTTCAACAAATTTATAATCAAAGTAAATGCTATGATGAGAGGATCAAATGATTTTTTATATCAATAACCAAAAGTGAGTTGATTTGAATCCAAATGATACTAAATCAATCCCTCAAAAAGTATTGCCCATAAATTTAAAGCACTATCCAAACAATCAAATAATCTTTAAGTCTTGCTTGTCTTTATTTAAACTAAATGTCTAAATAAGAAGAATCAAATAATTCTATGATCGTTCAATTTTAACATCATTGAAGTATCTAAAATGCATAAAAAGTCTTATATGATCCAGAGAATTAATACATACATGCATACATAAACATATGAAATGGACCTAAAATATGAAAGAGCTTAGAGATCAAACCAATTTTGAGAGCTTTGCCTTAGTCTAATGATTATTATCAATAATTATCATCCCTCGACTATGTTCTGTTAATTACTATTGTCTCCAACCTGCAGAAGCTAATCTTTGTTATAATGCAACTATCTTTCCAATGCTAACATTTACTGTCACTTGACAACCAAGTTCTAACCAACGTCGGCTGCCTTTAATTAGTTTTTATAATTATTATTGCTTGATTACCATGGTCTGCCATTAATTCATATTAATGCTCATCATTACTCGCAATTTCGCCAACATTTTTTATTTATATTTATAGGACTTAATCATATATATATATATATATAACATATATATATATATATGTTGTGAAATCCGCTCCGTCAAGAATCCTTTCGCCAGGTTCCAATAACACCTGAAATAAAACCTTCTAGGGAACTCTCTGTGTATTAAATTAGATGATTAAGAACTTAATAATATTATCTAAATCTTTCCAACAAGAATAGGATCCAAGATCTTCTTTCTTGTTGGAAAGAACCTTACTGCACTGCTTGTTAAGAACTCCTTGTCGTTCACTTAGCTAGGCCTGCGGTTCACCTGGATCCCTGTAGCTAGAGAATAGAGTTCTCCCTCCCTGCAACGGTTCTTGGATGTCGAGGATCTTGCTACAAACCAAAGTATAGGATTGCCGAAGAGCACCTATAGTGCTTTGGCTACCTGAACGACAGAATGGGAAGGAAAGAACTACCATAACAAATAAGAACAAGAACAAAAGAAAATTGTGAGAACTACACAAACATAAGAACACGAGATTACGTGGTTCGATCCATTGATCTACATCCACGGAGGGAATCACTACTAAAATTAACTAGCACAAAGGAAGAATTACAGACTCATTACATCGAGGAATCACAAAGTCTCTCTAGATCTCTATCTCTACAAGACCTCTCCCTCAATTCTAAAGCCTCTCCTCTTTCTTCCTCTCCTTGCTGAATTTTCTTCCTCCTCTTGATCTTCTTGATTAGATTTTTCTCTCTCCTTATGGTATTCTATCCATCGCACGAGACCCCTCATCTATTTATAGATAGATGAGACCTCCCAAGAGGCATGAAAATTACAAGTGTGCCATTTGTCATAATTAAGAGCCATGATATATAACACTTTTTAATTTTCACTGCAGCAAAATATTTGCGTCGGAATTTTTGACGCAAGTATTAGAGTCGGGTTTACGGTTGTTAAGTGTCGGATAATAAATTTTGATATTTGCATCTTATGACTACGTGATTAGAGTTGTCAAAACAACTCTTTGTTCGTGAACGACTCGTGTTCGGCTCGCTAAGCAAACTAGCTGAATACGAACACACTTTTTTAGCTCGAAATATAAACGAGTCAAACACGAGCTGAGCCTGGGTTTGCTCATGTTCGGTTCGTTTACACCCCCCCCTCTCTCTCTCTCTCTCTCTATATATATATATATATATACACATACATACAAACATACATACCTGCATATACATACATACATACATCTATACATACACACACACACACACACACACACACACACACACA